TAAGACCTAAATCTTGTTGGAGGATTGCTTTGGAGGTAAGGTGTATATAAAACTATTTGCTTATCCCTCTTCTGTTAAGTATCATGTGTCAGTGTTATTGCATGATATTCTGTGTGAGTGCTGCCCCCTACAGTTGTCCAAGAAGGTGACCCTGCCTAAAATAGACATTTCACTGCAATGAAAAGAATCAAACCATGACTTAATTTACAGAAGGGACTCATCTATGATTTCAGCAGAACCCAAAGCAGGCAGCCATATAGCAAGCAGAGAATGGATGGGGTCCGTGGGATCAGAAGGTTTGCATAGTACCGAGCACCAGATAAGCAGCTGAGTAAAAATGCCTCATGATTTGCTGGGTCATGATGGTTTCAGTTCTAACCAGCTCAGCACTCTAATGGCTTCCCTGAGCCATTCCTTTACCGAACTAATGACAGGCTCCACACATTGAACATAATAGCTTGGCCTGGCCTGTTCCTTCTGGCTGATGCTTAAGACCATCTTTAGCTCTACCTGCACCTTGGAGTACATTTTCAGGATTTTCCCTTTCATCCACACCACTTACTTGAAAATGCTGTTATCCTCTCACATTTGCTCCTTCCCCCTAATCACCAGGCCGGCCCTATCTATTACCACTTCAAGCTTTGTTTCTAGAGACCTCAGTGGTCTAGAGCTCAGCCTCCCATACTCACTATCCAGGGGAAATAAGAACATTGGAATGTTTCCACTGAAACAAAGGGAAAGAATGCTTTCACACTGAGACAGCCAAGCCCAGACACATCTGCCTGGCTTGGGGGATGCATCTGGTATTCTTTGCTCATCACACATAGCAACATACTCCAACTGAGACTGAACATGCTTCAGGGAACAGCAGTCATGACACAGAACATATGCCTGGAGAAAGGAGTGGGACATACTGGGAGTAATAGTTCAGAATTTGTACTTACACAAGGGTCAACTGAGGTATTATTGTGAGACTTCAGTATTCTCTGTTGAAAGAAAGAAAGATTGATTTATAATATTGAATGTGTTGTTTCCATCTATCACTTATTTAAATTTAAATAGTCATCTTTGAAGGGATTCAGGAACGAGTTGTAAAAAATAATTGGGAAGAAAAGAAGGCCAGCAGGCTGGGGTGGCTCCAGTGCTTTAAGTTCCTAAGTAAGCAAACTGAAACCTGATGGAAACAGTAAAATGAAACTAGAGATTTGCCAACTAGAATCCGCCATCTAACCTCTAATTAGCATCTTTCCATTATGCTAATTAATATAGTTTCTCTGTCTTACTCCTGTGTTGGCCTCACCGTCTGGACTGCTGCAGAAGAGCTCTCTGAAATTCTCCTTGTTCTCAGTGCTGCCCAATTCATGACTTGCTCTTTGCTCCAATAAATACTATTAAGTTTATTTTGTCTAAAGTTTTAGTTTTTTAAACAGTCTTCCCTTTACCTCACACCTGATTTTATGGA